TATATATTGTGTGTATATATATATATATATATATATATATATATATATATATATATATATATATATATATTGCGAAATCTCAAAAGTTTGGGATTGGTCGGATTTTTTATATTTTTGAAAGAAGTCTCTTATGCTCGCCAAGGCTGCATTTATTTGAAAATACAGTAAAACAGTAATATTGTGAAGTATTATTAATATAGTTTTAATTCATAATACCTTTCATATATTTAAAAAAAAAATTGTGTGATTGCAAAGCTGTATTTTCAGTAGCCGTTACTTCAGTCTTAAGTGTCACATGGTCCTTCAGAAATCATTCTGATAAGCTGATTTTATGCTCATTTCTTATTATCAATGTTGAAAACAGTGCTGCTTAATATTTTTTGTACAAACCTTCATACATTTTTTCAGAATACTTTGATAAATATAAAGCTCAAAAGAACAGAATTTAATTTTAAAAGATTTAAAACATTTTTTGAATGGTAGTGAACGTTTGGCCAGTGGATTCTTCCCAAATCTCACTGTAGTGTTTAAGCTTTCAAAGAGCAGCTTTTCTGTTCTCAGTGAGCCTAAGCTGACTTAATTTTTCATTGGGTATTATTCACTCTTGTTTTTCATTTCCTTTGTCGTCTTTTATTTATTTCCAACTTTTTCCTCACTCTGGTCCACGAGCATATGGAGAGGCAGGCAGTGCTAAATAATGCATGCCCCCCGCTGCAGCTGGCAGACTGCTTCAATCATGTGTGTGCTTGCCCGTTACGTGCACACTCATAGCTTTGTGTTGCTTTCTTGCAAGTAAACTCTCGTCCCTGTAGTCTGACTGTCTCTCTTTGCTAATCACTTAATAATCACACAGGTAACGTCTCTTATAACACAGAAGGTGTCAGACGACTGAATTTTGCTTAAGCCCCGGTCGGCAGTTGTCATCTCAAAAATGTTCTGAATGTGCGATCTGCAGTCGCTGCCTGTTAGAGAACGGAAAATAGAGGTCAAAGATTTTCTGACCTCACTTAAAGGTGAAATACTTCATAAAGGGACAAAATCACAGACTGACATCTGATTATTGTGTTTCTTTTAGAAACTGGCTGTGCTGAAGGATGGTTTCCAGTTAGATTATGGTTCTCAGTCTGACTTGTGGGCCAGCAATCCGTCCTTGGCCAACTCAAACCTCTCTCTCCCCCGCCACTACTCCGATGCCGAGTCTCAAACAGATGTACCTGCCGAGGTGAGAGATGGCCTTCAGTGCTGAGTTTTACATGGTTGTAAATGATGAATGACTGTGGTGTTTTTGTGCAAGTCATTTGTTGGGTAAAATGTCTTTTATAATTTCAGAGATATAAACATTTTTTTTTTTATTCTTTTTGATTTAGTTTGTATCAAACTCAAATAAACTGGCTGAGAAGGTACGACTGAGCCTGAAATATGAGGAGGCAAAAAGAAGGTATGTGTTTTTCTCATGAATTTCCTCCTAAATTATTTAAATCAGGGATGCCAGTATTTGCAGAACAAGAGGACTGACATATATTATTGATATAATGTGGAAAAAAAATGATATATATATCACCCAGAAGTTTGATAACGTATTGAAAATCTGGGATCCAAAATATAATCTAAACCTGGAAATAAACTAATAGTTTTAGAAAATTGTAAAGCAAAGAACTAATAAGGACTTAAAATGAAAGAAAGAAAGAAAGAAGAAAATGTATGAATAAAATATTTAAGCTTTTGCACAATTTTTAAATCACTTATCAAATAATCAAAAGGGCAACATTCCAAATTCTAAGAAGTCTCTTATGCCCACTGCATTTGTTTGATCAAAAATACAGTAAAAACCGTAAAAATTGTGAAAAGTTACTTGTACAAACAATTTATAATAACTGTTTTGTATTTATAATATATTCTGAAATTTAATGTATTCCTTCAGAAATTATTCTAATATGCTGATTGTGCTCAAGAAACTTTTCCTATTATTATCAATATTGCAAGTTTTTCCTGTTTTATATTTTTTGTGGAAACCATGATTTTAGTACCATTCAAAAGTTTGTCAACTTTTATTTTTAAGTATGATTGAAAGTAAACAATAATTAGTACTTCTATTTAGCATGGGCATAGCTAAATAAAAAGTGACCGTATAGAACAGGGGTGCCAACTAGGCATGGGCCGATTACTGGTTTCAAGGTATACCACGATTTGAAAACTTCACGGTTTCAAAACCGCTCATATTTTCCATTATACCGTTCCTACGGTATGCGTTGTTTTTCATGTCTCCTCAAAGACTGAAAGTGTAGGAATCCCTCAGGTTGAGTGCAGTGTAGAGAGTAACATGATCCTCCTCCTCCTGTTGGTGCGAGCGAGCGGTCAGTCACATGTGTGTGTAGGATGGATGAATTTAAGGAGCTGTCCCTCAAACTTACGTGATCGGCAACCGGCCGTTTTTTGTCTTATTGCAAGCAACTCGTCTCGTCTCTGTTCTGGACTTGCACAAACTGCATTGCAATGCAATCGTTTTCCAAAATGTAATTTATGTGAAAATATGAAGTCTGTAAACGCCCGTTAACACAGGCCAGAGACGTTGAAGATGGACGCCTAGAGAAAAATACTGTAGCAGGCAGATCACTCACTGTTCATGATGCACGAACTATTGGAAGAAAATCCTTAATATTGATCTGGGGGTTTATATGAATGCGTTTCTGAGGGGAACTGACTGTCTTCAGAAAAGTTTACATGGTATTTTCTTTTAATCTCATCTCTGTATAATTCACATTAAAGCAGTGTTTCAGTGCAGTGCTGCTTTGTTTACAGCGGTAACCAATGAAATGCTGTATCTGGTGTTCCTGAAGCGCCTCCCGCTCTCAGAGAGTGAATATGCGCGTCTCATTCAGAGCATCTGCTGTTTGTTTCGTTCAGGCATGTAGTATAATTTCACAAAGCTAGTCAGAACATTCTGTTTTTGGTTTAAATTGGGTTATTATTAAATCAAATTATGTGTATGAAATTATTTAACTGAATTATATGAAATGATATACAGTGGTGTGAAAAAGTGTTGGCCCCCTTCCTGTTTTTTTAATTTTTTGCATATTTGTCACACTTAAAAGATTCAGATCATCAAACAAATTTTAATATTACACAAAGATAATGCAAGTAAATACAAAATGCAGTTTTTAAATGATTATTTATTTTATTAAGGGAAAAAAGCTGTCCAAACCTGCCTGGCCCTACGTGAAAAAGTAATTGCCCCCTAAATCTAATAACTGGTTGTGCCACGCTTTGCAGCAACAACTGCAATCAAGTGTTTGCGATAACTGGCAATGAGTCTTTCACATCGCTGTGGAGGAATTTTGACCCACTCTTCTTTGCAGAATTGTTTTAATTCAGCCACATTGGAGGGTTTTCGAGCATGAATGGACTGTTTAAGCATCTCAATCGGAGTTAAGTCCGGACTTTGACTTGGCCACTCCAAAACCTTAATTTAGTTTTTCTTGAGCCATTCAGAGGTGGACTTGCTGGTGTGCTTGGGATCATTGTCCTGCTACATAACACAAGTGCGCTTGAGCTTGAGGTCACAAACTGATGGCCGGACATTCTCCTTCAAGATTTTCTGATAGAGAGCAGAATTCATGGTTCCGTCAATTATGGCAAACTGTCCAGGTCCTGAAGCTGCAAAGCAGCCCCAGACCATCACACTACCACCACCATGTTTGACTCTTGGTATGATGTTCTTTTTATGAAATGCTCTGTTGGTTTTACGCCAGATGTAACGGGACACACACCTTCCAAAAAGTTCAATTTTT